CAAAAAAATAAATCTGATTTGTAGAATAATGTACAGAGAGTAAGATAACATTTATTTAAAGTTTAAAAATATACAAGAGACTGTTTATATGTACTTACACATTATATATACATATGTACACATGCATTTATGTATGTGTGTATAAAATTATAATAATATCGAGGGAAATGATAAATTCTGAATTCTAGACAGTGGTTTCTTTTACCTAGGAGGAAAGGAGAAAAATGCAGAGGGGTAGGAGTCACTGTAACTGGATTGTATTTTTCCATGAAATTAAAGAGAAAGCTCTAAAAGAGATCTGACAAAACATTAAGATTTGATTCGACAAAACCTAGATGGTAGCTACCAAGTTTTATTGCATAATCCTCTAAATTATTCTACATACAGGAAATAGTTCATAGGTTTTTACAAAGAGTGTCATTTGCACTAGCCAGGAAAAGGGGATACTTTAATTCTCACAACAGACCTGATTCCTCTAATTTTAATATTAAACTTACATTTTTATTGAAGTATATGTAAGTAAAATGCAAAACTCAAGGAATGACTACATATATGACCCAGCTAAGCCCACCTCCATCACGACAGAGAATACTTGCAGCTCCCTTCAGCATCCACAGTCCCCCTTTTACAAGCTAATACCCACCCCCTGGTCTCAGCTTAGATATCACTTCCTCTAGGAAAGCTGCCTGGCTCCCCCAAGGCTTGGTTACTGCTACTCTTTTGTGCTTATTCGGTTAACTGACCATGTATTCATCAGCTTCTCTTTCTAGCTGATGAGTTGCTTCTCTGAAAGATACAAACTACAAATGTGACTTCTTTTTCTATTCTGAGCATGTGCCTTTCCATTTCTAAGATAAATTGTACTCACCATTGTTAGCTCCTTGAGAGAAACCCAAGATCCATTCCTTTTCCACACCGAATGTCTCCATAATTTCTGCATTGAGTACTATGTTCCCCTATACTCAGAGGTCATAACCTTGAAATCAAGGTTTAAGTGTTGACCAGTTCCTGAGTAAATTAAAGCTTAATGAAAACCCTGAACACTGAGTTGTATTCCATGATCACATGGGGTATTAGAGTAATGCCTGCCTTTTAGAAGCCCCGAGCTTTGCAAGGTAAGCTGAACTCAATCATGCCAAGCCTGATTAAAACCTTCCCCAAAGCTGATGAGTCAGGCTGAAAGTGCTCATTCCACAGACCTGCAGTATCAAAAGGTAACTAAGGATATTTCACTTCTGTATGTCACACCAAGAACACCTCAGAGAACTTCCTGGATCATAGAGAGCCTAGTAGTCATTCTAAAGAAAGCAAGTCCTCTTTGTGTTGTAGAGGGAGCAACTGGAGAGTTGTTTAATTACTGGAGTAACAAATGGATAAGAAAATAGACTTTGGCGCTAGACTTCGAGTATAATAGTACAAACGCGAAACCTTTCTGAGCTTTAGTTTTTCCTTTGGAAACCGGGGATGGTGATGCTAACCCTACTTCAGAGGGCTACTGTAAAGATTAAATAAGTTAATATGTGAAGAACTCCTCACACATAGTCTATAGAACTAGCAATCATTATTGCCATGATAGTATATTAATTCTGGAAAATCACTCTGGCTATTGTCTGATAGGTTGTGAATCCTAAAGGGAGAGTGTCATTGCAACAAGGAAAACAAAAATAAGATGATATGCCCTGGCCAGTGGCTCAGTCGGTTGGAATGTCATCCCATGTATCAAAAGACTGCAGTTTTGATCCCCAGTCAGGGTACATACCTAGGTTGCTGGTTTAATCCCTGGTCGGGCTGCATGCAGGAGATGGGTGGTTGATGTCTCTCTCTCTCTCACTTTCTCTCTCACTCACTGATGAAAGTATCCTCGGGTGAGGATTTAAATTTTTTAAATTAAAAATAAGATGATATGACTTAATGTATAAAAATGCCCTGGGTAGGAAGTGAGTCAACTGGTCACTACTTTTGGTCCCTTGAGCGAGGTAGATATATTCAAAGAGATTTGAACTGAGAAATACATCATTGCTGTGTATCCCAGGTTGTCTCGTTCCACAGATTTCGTAAGCAATTCATTGGAGGCATATTTATTTTTTTTTAAGGCCCATAGCTACATAATTCTGAAAGCATTTGGCTGGAAGTTTCCATATTTCTTTTCTCAAGGTTCAAAAGGTGCCCAAGAACTATGATATTTTCATGGGACATATTTTCTAGTCTCTCTGGAAAACAATTTTACAATTCTTCCAGGCTATATACCCTCCTGGCAACCTTTTCTTCTCACCTTCTGGGATGAAATATTCTTTTTTACGTTCCAAACTGGCTAAATTTCTGATCCTCCTCAAAAACTCAGCTTAATTATTTCCTCCTCTAAACTACCACTCCCCTTGTGTCCATTTATGTGTACTTTCTGGTTTATATTGCAGTGATCTGTTTTCTTGCCAGTCTTCATCTCTAGATGATGAGCTCTTCAGTGGAAAGGACTGTGATTTAATTTCTCATCTTGAAACACTGTAGAGCATAATAGTTTAGTGCATGAAGCCAGGATTTGGGAGTTAAATCTCACACTTGAAGGGTGTATATCTTTGAGCAAGTCATTTGACTTTTCCGTGCCTAAATTCCCTTACTTGTAAAATGGGCATAATAATAGTGGCAAATTTAGGTAACTAGCCCTTCTTTTTTATTTTTCTAAAGTAAAAGTTCAGTTTATTCATCTGTTTATGACACAGTACCCAAGAGGCAAAGTGTTTCACATCATAGAATTCACTTCCAACTCCTTGGAATATTCATTTCTTTGGCTAAAAGGAGAGACTAGCTGGGAAAGCCAGGCAATCCTTGGGCAACTAAAATAAGGAGGGGGCAGGAGCTATGCTAACATCATCCTCACAGGGATGGCAATGGGGGTATTAGTCGCAAGCTGATTTTCCAGAGTCATTAGCTGGAAGCACAGGAGCACCGCTCCTGAATGCTCAAGCCGTCTCAGGCCTCAGTCATCCCTGCCACACAGATAGAGCAGCATTTTCTGGTAGTATCCTTGGCTTCTTGCTGGATGTAATAGTACAGGGACTTGCCATACTTCTTGAATTCAGACCTGATTTTCAACATGCCCACTTCACTGAGGGAGATCATGATTCTGGTCAAGAACTTGTCCTGTGTCCCTTTGACCTTCATGGAGTCATATAGTCAGTCAACAAAATACAGAGGCTTGTTCCGGATACACTGGACCAGGTTCAGGAAAGTATTTTCCAGGTCACCTTTGACTTCCTTCTTGATGTTTTCCAACATGTCATAAGGGCTGTAGCTCTTGTACCTTTCAAATACTCTGGAGGTGACCCATGCTCCACTCGGTCATGATGCTGATCTACCTGGGAACATCGGTTTCTTTCCTCTTCACTCCAGCATCATAGAGATCCTGGGCATCTTGGTCAATCAGTTCATAATCAATGACAGAGCCATCTTCTGCTCCTTTACCCTTGGCGAGGGCAACCATCAGCTTGCGGAAGTCACCAGATGTGTCAGAAACAATGTCCTCCTCCACATCAGTCTTGTACATTTCCTTGTAGACTCTGTTAATTTCCTGCACCTCCTGGTTGGTCCTGGAGCAGATGATGTCAATGAGAAAATCCTCATCAGTCCCCAGCCCCTTCATGGAGGCTTTCAGCTCGGAAGCATCATACTGAGCAGGTGTTTTCAATAGGCCCAGAATCACTGTCTCCAGGTGGCTAGACAAGGCTGACTTCAGTGCTGGTTGCAAGTTCCTTTTTGGTCCTTCTCTTGTAGGTGAAGGCAATATCCTGTCTCTGTTCATTGCTGCAGTTGATCAAAATGTTGATGATGGTGACCTCATCTACACCGTCGGTCTTGATGGCTGTCTCAATGTTCAAAGCATCCCAGTCAGCAACAAAGTTGGTGTAGGGTTTGACTGACCCGTACGCATTTGTGGATGTAGAGTGATCACTCTCCAAGCTGAGCTTGCACAGAATTTCATGAACAGCAGACATTTTGAAAGAAGCTGGGCCAGGCGCTGAGAGCTGTGAGTGTCCCCAGATGCAGAGCCTCTTTTTTTTTTTTTAAGATTTTATTTATTTAATTATTTATTTATTTTTAGGGAGGGAAAGGGAGGGAGGAAGAGAGGGAGAGAAACATCAATGTATGCCCCCCCACTGGGGACCTGGCCTGCAACTCAAGCATGTGCCCTATACTGGGAACCCAACCTGTGACCTCTTTGTTCACAGGCCAGCACTCAATCCACTGAGCCACACCGGCTAGGGCGACGACTACTTCTTTAAATTAGGAATCTTTTCATGATTGCTACCGGAAAAGAAATATTTTTGGATACATTTTAAAGATAGCCTAATATGTAAAAGGGTCAAGGTTTCCAGGTCAAACAAATACAGCTAACTGTGTTGGGGGCGAAGAAAGAGACTTTTAGATTCTGACAGGCAATGCCAGACATCCTACCCAGTCTCTCCATCATCTTCACACACTGTGGGCCTTCTCTGACTCCCATAATATTCAAGGTCTCATCAGTTACTCTTACTTGCGAGAGGGCTACCTTCCTCGGCCATGCCGGGCATTACACGCGTACGCTCTGCCAGGGAACTGATCCCCCTTTTGTGATCCCCACTGTCCCTTTAGGTGTCTGATACCACACAACTGTCTATCTCTGTGCTCCGAACTCCGGAACGACTGATATCCAGTCTCAGGCTAATTCTCTCAACGACTAAGACTCCTTCTGAAGGCTTCCCCCCGTCACCAGTCACTCCTCGCCTCTGAGTGTTCCTCAGCACCACCCGTAAGCTTTAGAAACTGAGACTCTCTGACCCTGCCCGACGCGGGCTCCGTAATCCCTTCAGCGCACAGCACCTACGACCTTAACGCTTTAGACCCGCCTCATTTTAGCTACTGGCCCCGCCCCTCCCTCCGTTCCGCCTCCTGCTTAAACTGGAGTCACGAATCCGCTGGCTTGCTGCCGCCTCGTAGCGTGATGACGTTGGGGTTGGCGTGCTGACGTTGGGCGGCTGCCTGCGTGTCGGCCGCGGTTCAGGGAGCAGGCTTAGGAACTGTGGACGACCGTGGGGCGTCCTGGCCGTTGGCACATGTGTTTTCATTGCAGCTTTCGCTGCTGAATGTGTCGTCTCCGTGTCGCCCTTCGGGGGAGAGGGAAACAGAGGAGAGCGTTGTTTGGGGGACAGAGCTGGAGCTCCTAAAAGGGGAAGGGAGCAGCCAGGAGGCTTTAAAGCACCTGACCGCAGGCCTGCGGCCCGGAATTGGGGAGCGACTGAGAGGGAAAGGTTCCCGCAGGCAGGGTCCGAACTCGATAGGATCGGGGCTGGTGCCGAGGAGGGAGGGCCCGGGGCGCCCGCGCGATGCTCGGGGCCCGGTGCCTGCTCCGAGCCCTGCGCTCCTGTTCCTCTGCTCCCTGCCCGAGACCCAAGCCTTCACCCAAACTGAGCGTGCGGGAAGCTCTCAGGGCCCAGAACACGAATGGGGAGCGCGTTAAGGTTCAGGTTGGTGTATGGGAAGGGGTGTTTTGTTTTGGTTTTTTTTCTTTTTAGTGACTTACACGGCACATCCACATCTAGGCTTGGCTTGTACTGTCGGGTCAGAACGACCAGCAGGGAAACGTTAGAAAATACAGGCAAATCATGTGCGTTCACACTTTTCTCCTTTTCATTGGCTACCATTATTTTTCGCAAAACTGTTGGGACGCCTATAAAGCGCTGGAAATTTGCTTTTACGGTACCAGGGCATTACCTGTAAACTTGTTAATTGTACAGCAAAATAAACGAAGGAGTGCCCTTTTCCTTTAGTCATTACAATTAATAATCCACAGTTATATGCTGGTTGTCTTGAGCTAGATCCTTGAGAGCAGAAAACATGTCTTACAGGTTTTGGTATTCACACATGGCCGACTGTAAATATTTGTTCAACTAAACCATACCTTTCATTCGACCTCAGTGTTTAAAGTGAGGCTTTGCCTGTAACATGTTTAGTCAGCTAGGAAAAAGAGTGGAGTGTAGAAGCTTGAAAGAGCTCCGGAGTCAAGCTGCCTCGGTGTAAATCTCATTACGGGGCACGTCACTATGTGTGCCCTAACCCTCAGTTTCCTGTTACAAAAATGAAGGTAATAGGTATTAGACATAGAACAGTGGTCCAGAGTCAATAGATGTTACTACTTCTCTTGCTAATAATATTTCCAGCAGTTCCATATAGACTTCCTCTTAAAGGAGCAGGCCAAGCAAGGTGGTTTGCGGAAACACGCTGACACATTTTGGTTGTGCTCACATATCCTTGATTTTTAGCAATATGACTAAGGTATCCCTCTGCATGGCTTTGGGTTTCATATTCTTTCCATGATCCTGATCAAAATCTTTTCTTGAATTCAACTATTAATTTGATAGACTAATTATCTTTTATGTGCTAGTCTAAAGGCAACTCAAAGATGAAAAGAACAGCCTAGCGCCTCCATTAGAGGCTTTCAGTAAAGTGCTGTGCAGTCTAGTATAATAGCTACCTGACACTTGTAGTACTTATGACTGAACGCTTAAAATGTGGGTAGTCTGAATTGAGAGGTGCTGTAAATAAAATACCAATTTTGAACAAAAAAAGGCAAAGTATTATTGATGATACGTTGTTAATATTGGGGGCATAATGGGTTAAATAAAATATTAAAATTATTTTCACCTGCATTTTACTTTTACTGTGACCACTAAAAAAAAGTAAGATTACTTAATGTAGCTCACATATTTTTGTTGGACAGCCCTGGTCTAATGACTAAAACAAATAATTTCAGCAATATGCTAGGTGTTAGTGGTGGAACCACTACTTTGGAGAAAACGGAGGAAGTCCTTAACTGTGTGAAGAGGTTGAGGTAGACTCCTTGTCTATAGGTTATGTTGGAGACACAAAGAAAATAAGAATCAGTACAATCATGCGCCACATGTTTTGGTCAATAGCAGGTCGCATAAAAGACATGGTCCCATAAGATTATAATGGAGTTGAAAAATTCCTGTCTCCTAGTGACTTGCTAACCTTGCTAACCTAACAAACATCATAGTGCAACATGTTACTCACGTGTTTGTGGTGATGCTGGTATAAACAAACTTAGAGCACTGCCAGTTGTATAAAAGTACAGTGCATACAATTATGTACATGTTACTGGTTTGTGTATTTACTATACTATTATTGTTACTTTAGAGTCTACTCTTTCTACTTGTACAGTTTCCTGTAGATGAGTGTGCCATGTTACACCTGCAGCAGCCTCATACATCTTTTGTTTACTGCATCTCTTGATTGCATCATCTTTTCTTGTGCTTGATTTAATCCCATGTTGATTTGTGCAGTAACCTGTGTAGGTATATAGTAGCTATACCATCTAGGTTTGTGAAGTGCCCTCTATGACGTTGGCACAAAGTTGAAGTTGCCTAACAACGCCGTTCTCAGAATGTATGTGTCATTAAGTGGTGCATGACTGTACAGTTTTTCTAAGTAGGATCATCTTGCTTTTCCCAGGCATGTTTGGTGGTTAATCAAACACCATCAGTTGCTTCACAATAGTTCAGTATCTGCTAGAATAACATTCTCTCTTAACTTCTCTGCTAATTAAGCTAGATTTAATTGGTGAGAGAGATGTTTTTAATGTTAAATGGCCTACCTGAAAACATCTCATTTGTACTCAAACCTACTTGTCATTTAAGTGCAGAGTGCTTTTTAAAGTTTATGTATAACTTGTGTTCATAATGAGAAGTTTCTTGAGAACTCTTTAGGTATGATATTTTGTAAATGGAAAAATAGTTCCGTAAAGAAGTTTCTCATCTATAACTACATAATCTCCCTTCTTGGAATTGGATATAAAAGGAGAAAGAGACCAAAATATGTACTCTTTTATTTGTAACCCAATTAAAGGGGTGCAGGGACATAAGAAAATATGTGAAGTAGCCAATATTGAGGGAATTGATTATGTGAATTAGGCCCATCAACCTAATGAAATGTCAGGTTATCTATTCAGAAAGATGAGCTTTTTTAACAAAACAAAAGTGGAATGCCAAAGCTATATCTCGCTGTGATAAGAACCATATAAAATTACATATGCATGTGAATGAACTAAAATCGATTGATTTGTTAAGGCAGGATTATAAGGACATTTTTTCCCTTGGTTTCATTTAGTCTGTGTGTATGTGTAATGAAAATGTAAAATGTTTACATGTTTTAAATTAATATTGAAAAATATTTTTCTTTATTAGGGATGGATTCGTTCAGTACGATCCCAGAAGGAAGTCTTGTTCCTGCATATAAATGATGGGTCTTCTTTGGAAAGCCTTCAGGTTGTAGCAGATTCAAACTTTGACAGTAGGTGAGTTTCAAAAAAATAAAAAGTGAATCCTTTGATTTTGCTTTTTATCTCTTCTGCTCTGCATTTTCGTAATCCAGTGTTCATGTTGTATCCTGCATGATCTTTCTAAACAAATCTGCTTTTCAAAGTTTTGAGGTTCAAGTCCAAATACTTAAAATCAAGGTCCCTCAAGCCTTTCCTCCTCTCTCTAACATTGTCTTGTGACAATATTCCCACCTAGCCTTTGCTTCAGTCTCTCTTAACTACCTGCAGCTTTTCACCTAAGTAAGGGTAAAAATTTATATCATTAAAAATTTTAATGTTCTGGTGGCAAGGTTTGTATTAAAATGAGGATTGTGTATAATGATATCTTGTTTATGCTGTGTTGTTACTGTAGAGAATTGGCTTTTGGGAGCTCTGTGGAAGTTCACGGGCAATTGGTAAAAAGTCCAGCCAAAAGACAGAATGTGGAACTGAAAGCAGAAAAAATTGAAGTTGTTGGAAGTTGTGATCCCAAGGTATGTGTTCTGACACTTTAATGGAGGCTGTTTAGACTTAATTAAAAATGTTAGCAGTCTGTTTTAAGTGTGATTATTGGGAAGATGACACTTAGAATATGTTTTGATTGTGACTTCCTAGGGTAATGGAAACAGTTAAGAGAGAGCCTAAGGAATGTAACAGAGAGTAGCAAAATGTATCTATGTAGATGGCTGAGTGTTATGAGAGCTAAGTATTGGTCTATGCTTCTCTGTCACAGTTGAAACTTGCCGCTTTTACAAACATGCCCAGTGACAGAGACATATCAGGGCAGATAACTAAGGAAAGTTCTGTCTAGAAGCGACTTGCATGATCTGGAACTTTATGTCCAATACAGTAGCCACTAGCCACATGTGGCTGTTTAATATTAAATCAATTAAAATTAAATAAAAAATTCCATTCCTCAGAGTCAATAGCCACTTTTCAAGTGCTCAGTGGTCATATGCAACTAATGGCTGCCATACTAGATAGCACAGATACAGAACATTTCCAATTATCTTAGAAAATTCAACTGGACAGTGCTAGAGTATTGTAATTCTTAAGTTGAACAAAGAAATTCTACATTAAGACGTGTTTATACCTGTTTTTGCAAGACTCTCCTCTTAGTAGCTTTTTATTTGTAGCCTGATAAAGAGGTTAGCAGGAATAAAATCATAGATTATCAATCTAATTTCTTAAATTGGAGAAAATGAATCCCAACCAGGTGAAATGATTTGCCTAAGGTGACAGCTGAATAGCAGCCGAAATTAATCCATGTACTAGGCATTTGACTCCTTGTGGTTTTGAGATACTTGTCTTCATATGTTTAGTGAACAAAAAATGAGGAAATATAGGGAAATTGCATTATTTTAATTCATTTTTAGTTCTTTGGGATATCTGGAAGAAATTAAACATAGACAATGACTTTTAACATAGACTTTTAAGACATTTGGGTGATTTAAAAATTAAGTACCCGCTGTATGTAAACAGCTGTAGAAAACAATCTTTAACATGTACAATATTCTAAACTCCTGTGTGCCAAACAGTGGACTATTTTATATAATTATATCCTAATCTTTCTACTTGTAAGTACTAGTTGATAGCTAACAGATAGAAATTTTGTAAATAACAGATTAGCCTCGGTGATATTAAGTATACTTGCCCATGGTTCCACAGCTAATAGATAGTAGGGCAGAACTCACACCCACATCTCTCTGATTCTGCCCCACCACCCGTCTACTCACTTGTTGAAATTAATGTGGACTACTCAGTTATATTAAGAAATAAAGAAGGAAAACATCTTAGTTTTGTTCTAAAGCATTAATATTTTTAAAGTGCCCTGGAAACTATCTTTTTAGCTTCTAATTTTTTTTTTATTATTTTTGGCAGGATTTCCCTTTTAAATATAAAGAGAGGCCTCCTCTGGAGTATCTAAGGCAATTTCCTCATCTTAGGTGCAGGAGTAATGCCCTGGGTTCTATACTGAGGGTTCGCAGTGAAGCTACCGCTGCCATTCATTCTTTCTTTAAGGTAAGGTGTTTTGCTTCTCTGTGTTCTGCCTTGTAAAGAATTTGAGTAATTGTAACACTGGACTATTATCATGAAAGTTCTATTAGTTATTTATTCCAAGCACCCTTTACTGTCCTGGTACTTTTTTTCTTAATTGATTTTAAATTTTCTGTTTATCACTGGTTCTGAGCAATTTAATTATGATGTGCCTTGGCATGGTTTCTTTGTGTTTGGAGTTTGTTGAGTTTCATGGATCTACTCTTTTTTAATTTTCATCAACTTTTTTCAGCCATTATTTTTTCAAATATTTTTTATGTTTCTTCCATCCTTTGGGGACTTCAGTTACCCAAATATTAGGCCACTTGATGGTATTCCCAGAGCTCACTGATGTTCTTTTCTTTTTTAAAATTCTGTTTTTCTTTGTGTTTTTCTTTTGGATAATTTCTATTGCTATGTCATTGAGTTTATTTATCTTTTCTTCTAGAATGCCTAATTTGTTGTTATTTCTAGTCAGTGCATTTTTTCCTCTCACACATTAGGTTTCATATCTAGATGTTTGATTTAACACTCTTAAAAAATATCTTCTATTTCTCTACTTAATTTTGAACATCTTCAGCATGGTTTTGAACATATACAATGCAGTAAAAATACTGTTTTTATGTCCTTTTTTTCTAATTTTAACATATCTGTCTGGAATCTGTTTTGATTTATTAATCTCCTCTTTATGGATTATGTTTGCTTTCCTCTTTGCATACCTGCAAATCTTTGATTAGGTGCCAGACATTGTGAACTTTAAGCTTCTTAAGCTTTGTTCTGATATGCAGTTATTTGAAAACTGTTTGATCCTTTGGGTCCTGGTTTTAAGTATGTCTGGAGAAGTTCTGTCTTGGACTAATTATTTCCCACTACTGAGGCAAAGCCTTCCTGTGAAGTACCTAATGCCTTGTGAATAACTGAGTTTTTTCAGTCTGATTTATGGTTACAGACAAGGTTTCCAGCCACATGTGAGCACCAGGCACTGTTTCTTCCAGTCTTTTTGAGTGGTTCATTTTGTGGCCTCGGAAGGTTTCCTCACAAGCATTGGGTTGATCATGTCTCTACCTAATACTCCATGTGACCCTCCACCTATCTCTGGAGTTCTCTGCACAGCTCTCTCCTCTCTGGTAGTACATCTTGAATTTTAGTCACTTTGGTCTCCTGAGACTCCCAACTCTAACTCCTCAACTCTGGGAGTCTGCTGGGTTCCACTTTATTACCCCGCTCTCCTTGCTATGGCCTGGAAAATCTCAAGGTAGTAACCTGGGTTGCTGGTGGAGTTCACTATGTTTGTTTCCCACCTTCAGAGATCACTGTCCTTTGTTGTCTGATATTCAGTATCTTGAAAACCATTCTTTCATGTGGTTTGTAGGGGTTTTTTTGCTGTTTTTGTCTTTTTGGTTGTTTCAGTTAGGAGGGTAAATCTGGCCCCAATTTTTCCAATTTGGTCATAGACATACTATATATACACACTCGTACATATATGTATATATACATATAGTATATCTATACACCACACTATATATACTTATATACTATATATGCTATACTACATATTATGTATACAATACTATATAGTATATATAATATGTATAAGTAAATAGTAAGCACAAATTTTAGAGAAGTGTTGATCAAGTAGATTGATCTAATGATTAAAGACATTTTGTCTTATTTAGTTCTGCTTTTTCACCATTTTCTCCCACCTGGGAAAGCCACAGTGGAATATACAATAGTTGGTAGTAAGTTGATGAGTTGAAGGGACCCCTACCTCATGTGAGTGGAGGTTGGGGGGCAAAGGCAAGGAGAGACCCAGAACATAAAGTTCAGTGTTATTCCGTGTGGTTTTGGAACTCTTTCTATGCCATGTCTCCAGATCCAGCTAATTTGCAGAGATTGTTTAATGTATACCCTTCCATGTATCCAAATTCCTGTAGACCCAACCTATTGTAGCATACAAGAGAGTTGTTGCTTTTTAAAAAGCTCCTTCAGAGTTGATTTCTTCTAAAACAGCTAAAGAACATCATGTCTTTTAAGCATATACTGTACTTTTGAATAAACAAAGGAAACTAAATCACATTATACAATATCACCCCATTCCAGTTTGAAAGGGGGTATTTGCATAGGGTCTCATAAACTTTCTTATGCAGCTTCCATATGGCTTTTCCGTAGTGCTTGAACCACACAAGCAGAAAATTTGTTCAGATCTGAAAATGTTTTCCCCCATATGGCTTAACAGCTGGTAAAGTGGACCTATTCTAATTTTGAAATAGTTTTATAGATTTCTGGCCACCAGGTGGTGGTATTCACAATCCGTTGACAAGTGGGCTTTATCTATTTTCTGCATTTCTTTGTTACACGAATCTTTTGCAGATATGTAAACAATTAAAAAATAAGGGAAGAAACTAGAAATTTTGAAGTCAAAAATAAGCAAGATAAAATAAAAAAAATTTTAAGTGGTTGAAAATAAATTTTAACACTGTCGGTGATATTTACAAAGTAGGTACTTTTTTTGATTGCTATAAATTCGCATTTTAATTGTAAAGTTCTGGAAAATATAATCCAGCTTCTTTAATGTTACCCAATTGTATGTGTGACTGGATTGAATTGTTAAAGAAATCACAGGAGAGCCATATGACATATTAAATAATCATTATATATTATGTAGTATTTGGTACCACAGGGTCCAACAGAAATAATGCCTGCTTGAGTGTGGTTGGTAGGTAAATAATATGGGTTTGATATTTATAGTTTTAATTTGAATATTTCACCTAAAATGTTATATGATGTGATACTGTTATGTTGAAGAATTTTATGCTTATGATTTTGTAGTAAAAGATTTTGTAATAAATAAGGTGCGATATTTGTGCCAGACCTTATATTTCTGTGAGTTGTGTCTTTAGGCTCCCAAAAAGATGTTAGGACTTTAAGTGTAAAATCTTCATAAATTTCAAATCTAGAAATGAAGAAAAAAATAAATTTGAACTGTACCTTTTAATTAGGATACATTAAGCATCTAGTTACTTTTTTGATTTGGGTATCAAAAATGTTTTGTGTATAACTTGGTTTGCTCATGAAATTGACATATTTGCTATGAACTAAAACTTGGCTATCTAGAATCCTCAAGGAATGAGTCATTTAGAAGAGCTGAGTCTCTCAAATTACAGGATTATCTCTTCAGGCACCAAATGGTCTAAATTCCAGTGGAAATTATCCTACAGTGTATTGCACACGTCCCCGGCTTCCCAGCTTGAGACAGAAAAAATAGTTTGCCCTTTCTTGATGAGTCAAGTTTCTTCCTTTGAGTATCAGATTTTCCCCTCTTCTGTATGGCAGTGTTTTCAGAGCCTGTCATGGTGTGGAGTATTCTTTGTCCCTGTGTTGAATGACCCCAGACTGCTGTGTCTTTGAATTCCTGTGACTGTTTTCTGTGGATTTTTTTTTTTGGTCTCCTTTTGCTTTCACTTTTTGTTGCCAGTGGGGTGCCTGTGGCTAGCAATTGCTGCTGTGTTGTTGTTGTTGCTGATTCTGATAAATAAAGATTCTTATGGGGGGCGGTGTGTGTGTGTGTGTGTGTGTGTGTGTGTGTGTGTGTGTAAGAAAATGCAGCCCATGAGTCATTGAGTGATGTGTATGGGCCTTAGTATATGAATTTTGTAAATTTTCAGATATTCAGTTCATTATAAAATATGTGGTTCTAGAATGTCTATCTAAGAAAATATTTAGATATTTAGAGGTAGTAGGTGCAGTCTGAAAAATTGGATGAAAGTATATGCTTTTATTTTCGGTTCTCTCTGGCCTTCATACTTCTCATTAGGAACCGCTCTGCTGTGGGGTGGGATAAGTAACTCACACTGGTACCACATTGGAACAGCTGCTGACAGGGCTCCTCCAGTCCTTGCTATTTATTTTCCTTTTTATCTTTTTCCTTCCCTTTCCACTCCTCTTTTGTTGAACTTTATTCTCAATGCTTTATTTTTCTTTCTTTGTACACTTTATAGCTTTTGGTGGCACTGTTGTGGACTTTAATCTGATAAGCCTTGCTAGCAGCATTAAGCCTTAAAAAGCTGGTGACACCTTTTGAAAGGTTTAGCATTAGTTGAGTATTAAGAATAATTTCTACTACTTGAGTGATTTCTTAAAAATCTATAGTTATTTTCGTAAGATTTACAGTGATGTTTCTTGTGGCAGTTGACAAGTTCTAACTTTGGCAATTATATTTAGCCGTTAAATTTTCTCCTCCCTTTCCCCCACCCTCTCTCCACCCTCATTTCCTTTGGATTTTTCATTTCCTTTCTTTGTTTACCGCACTCAAGCTCATAGTTGCCTGCATTCGTGTGGAATAAATGATTCATGTCCATAATTCTTGGCTCCTGAGAGATAAAAATTTTATGCAGTAATGTTATTATTGATTATATTTCATTTGTTTTCTATGATGTTCTCTGTGCAGCACCTCTAAGCATGTTGCTCCCAGGCTAAGTACATATTTGAATACTTACTGAGACTCCTAATTTAGAGTTTGAATATTTAATCAGTCTACATCGTAGGGCAAGTTGTTAACTAGATACTTTGCATCTTACTTTAATTTAACTTTTTTATGAAGGAGGAAGCAAACTTGAGAGGACCCTGGTAACACACAGAGACATTTTGTATTCCACCAGTGATAGGCAGATTTAACAGACATTAAAAGTGTACATATGAATTTATTGTATTGATTTCAAGAGCACAATTTTTTCATTAAACAAATGCTATTCTGCTTTTTGCAGCCTAAATCCCCTTTGGTTACCCCCATGCCCACCCTGCAACATCTATGGTGAATGTAACCTTTCGCCTATATCCATAGTCAAAATGAATGAAGCTTAACCTTGAAGTTGTTGGGTTATTTCAGTTCTACTAGCAACAGCTTTTGTGGTTCATTAATGGAAATAGTCTCAGACTTTGGAGCGGAAAAATTGCAGTTGGGCGCCTCAGTAATGGATGCATTTGCTGCTCAGAATCTTCTTTGAGACTAAAGGAAGTGCACTGCCTGTGCCATGTGCAGTGCTCTTGCCATCAATATAATGACAGACGTCCTGAATCATTTCTGCTTTGTTTGCAGTTTATTTCTTTAGTCACTATTTGTCAACTTTAATTTTTCTCCTTTTCCGTGGTTTGTTACAGTTGAGGGTCTCACTGCAAAACAACTGAACTTTACATTGATTACTTTGTATTCTCTTAGCAATGTAGGCAGCATTATTTATTATACATTAACTTTGAGTAGGAGAGAGAGGGGGAGAGAGAGAGAGAGAGAGAGAGAGAGAGAGAGAGAGAGAGAGTTAAATCACTACCAGTATGTTAGAAAAGTGGTAGAAGAAATAGTACCAGAGATAGACCCTGAAGACCTAGTTTCCAGGCCTGGGCTGCCACTGACTAGTTGTGTGACTTGGCAATTCATTAATATCTGTGGGCCTCAAGTTCCTTATCTTTGAAATGAGGAAATTGGACTAAATAATGTCTAACTCATTTCCTGATTTAAAATTATTTGTGCTTCTATACATAGTAAAACACTCAGCTTGGTATTTCAATACTTTTATTTATGGAGTTGGGGAAGGATTTGATACGGCATTCTCTAAATGCTATTTCAGTTGTATAATAAGATATATTTTCTTGGAATTGTATCGTATACAAGTATACTGAAAGAAAAAAAAAGGCTTTTCCTTTTTCTTCCAGGACAGTGGCTTTGTGCATATTCATACTCCAGTAATCACATCCAATGACTGCGAGGGGGCTGGAGAACTTTTTCAAGTTGAAGTAAGTTGTGCTTTCCATCTTGGGGGAGACACTGCTCTCTGACATTTTTCATCTGAGGGTTTTAAATTTAATAAGAGTTGTATTGATAAACCATGACCAGAACCTGAAATTTTTTCAGTAGTAATCCTTAAAAAAAATAGAAAATTCAAACTTCTCTGATTCCTGTTCTATCCGCTGTATTATTTACATTGTGACTAAAAGGAGTAGGTTTTTAGTTTAGTACTCCATTTACTATTCTTATATAACTGTGAACTAGTGAACTGGAATAATTTGAAGAGATTAATAAAGATTCTTAAGATATCTTTTGTGCAAATTCAATCCCCGGTTAATATTTTTGGATATAAGTCATATTTTAAAAGATAAGTTAAAAAAAGTATACATGTGACTATTTTCTTTTTCAAAATCTTTAACAAAACATTTTTCATAAGAAACATTTATGCCCTAGCTAAGTGGCTCAGTTGGTTGGAGCATTGTCCTGTACACCAAAAGGTTACTGGTTGGATTCCTGGTTAGGACACATACCGAAATTGTGTGTTCAGTCCCTGGTTGGTGTGCATACAGGAGGCACCTGATCAGCGTTTCTCTCTCACATAAATGTTTATCTCTTTCTCTCTCCTTGCCTCCCTCCCTCCCCCCGCTTTCCCCTCCCTTCCTTCCTTCCTTCCTTCCTTCCTTCCTTCCTTCCTTCCTTCCTTCCTTCCTTCCTTCCCTCCCTCCCTCCCTTCCTTCCCTCCCTTCTTCTCTTCCTCTCTCTCTAAAATCAATAAAACATATCTTCAGATGAGGATTAAAAAAGAAAGAAAAAGAAATGATTTATGTTCTGTATACTTCATGAAGGCTCTTGTTTTAATTCTTTATTCAGCAATCATTTTCTGAGCTCATAAGAAGTTCCAGGCATTGTCAGCCTGCCCTTGTAGGTAATTTAAAATTTACTAGTTATTTTTACTTATAGGCAGTTGAAGCCATTTCATTTACCAATTTGCCAGCCTACTTAAACTCTTTGGCCAGTTGTGTAATAATTTACAAAGAAATGTATGTTGATAAGTACTGCTTTTTGTATTTCTTTCATTCGTTCATAGATTTCTTCCTCCCTCCCTCCCTCCCTCCCTCTCTTCCTTTCCTGTCCTCACCCATGGACTTTTTTTTTCCCCATTGGTGAGGTGGCGCAGGTCCTGAAGGTCCTGTTCAGATGTCAGCTGAGGCAGAAGGCAGACTCTGGTCCCACAGAGTCTGCTTTGGGTCATCATGGATGGGGAAATAAAAATAAGCCATCCCAGACACTTTTCTCAGTCTGCCAGGGAAAGGGGTGGCAATTCCCTCTTGTGGAAAATGCCCGGAGTCCCTTTGTCCAAAGGCTTTTATTGAAAGGGTTATCAGTGGGGCTAGGTAGTAGGAATGTACAGGTGTTTTCATTACATCAGTATGTTAATGTTTACAGAGAATAGATGATGTTTTGAAGAAAACAAATGGCAGGAACACACCAATTTACATGGGTCCGAGAAGAGATGAGTAAACATAAGAGTGTAAATTTAAGAGTGCTGAAGTGTTTAGGGTCAGGGTCTATGAATAATGTAAATTTCCTTCCCAGCATGAGCTGGTTATCATAGCTTTTGAGGAAAAAACAAAGCATGCTTCAAGGAATTTACTTCTAGATCTGATTTCCCCCAGAAACCACCTAATTCAGTTTAGGGCTATACCTGCCTCCAGTATTGTTTCAAGCCTGAGCCAGGCAGGGGAGCAGAGCTGCCAAGAGATAAGGAGACTTCTTTCAGATAGAATGAGGACTCGGGCCATATCAAAGCTGAGGGGTGAGGGTTTTTTGCCCCCTCTCCATGTCCCCCAAGTCCTTCCCATGATGGCCCCTTGCGACTGTGCCTGACTTAGGTTGCCCCTGCCATTGAGAGGTCTTACTACCCAGCATTGACTAACCAGCCATCCTTCACGGCTAAGCAGGGTGGTGTGAGGGAGCCCCTGCCAGGGAGACAGGCTTTGCCTCCTCCCTGGCCTGTTTTCCCAAGGCCTGCTTGCTTAGCTCCAGCCTTGGGGCTCTCTTGCCTGTCAGCAAGGCTGCAGTTCCTGAAACCAGGCGGAGTGGTTCCCAACACGTTTGTTGTAGAAAGAGAGAAAGGGAAAAATGAAAGGAGAGAGGAAGGGTGAGAAACATCGATGCAAGAGAGAAGCATTGATCGCTTGCCTCCCGAAAGCTCCCAGACTGGGGATCAGATTGCATGTGTTTACACCCTAAGGAGGATTCAGGATTGAACCCGCAACCTAGGCATGTGCCCTGACGATGAATTGAACCGCAATCTTTTGGTTATGGGCTGATGCTCCAACCCACTGAGCCACCCCTACCAGAGCCACTGATTTCTTTAAGAACTCAAGATTCTTTTGACATAGTGGGTTGATTCCATCAAAGGATGACATATAACTGCTGTATCTGGTTCAGTATGTTTTCATTCTTGAATAAATTTTAATTACAGTTGACATACAGTATTATATTAGTTTCAGGTATACAACTTAGTGTTTAGACATTTATATAATTTTTGAAGTGATCACTCTGGTAAGTCCAGTACCCATCTGATACCATACATAGTTATTACAATATTATTGACTATAGTCCCTGTGCTGTACTTTACATCCCTGTGACTATTTTTACAACTTGCAATATGTACTTCATCCCTTCACCTTTTTCACCCAGGCCTTCAACCTCTGCTCACCCCCTACCCCACCAATCTGGCAGGCATCTTTTTGTTCCTGTATCCATGAGTTTGTTTCTGTTTTGTTTGTTTGTTTATTTTTGTTCAACATATAAGTGAAATCATATGGTATTTTTCTTTGCCTTATTTCACTCAGCATAATATCCTTTAGATCCATCCATATTGTTGTAAATGGCAAGATTTCATTTTTTTTTATGGTTAATATCCCATTGCATATATGCACCACATCCTCTTTATCTAATTATCTATCAATGGACATTTAGGGTGCTTCCATATCTGGAATATTATAAATAACGCTGCATGAACATAGGGGAACATATATCTTTTCAAATTAGAGTTTGGAGTTCATCCGATAGATACCCAGAAGTAGAATTGTTGGGTTATATGGTAGTTCTTTTATAATTTTTTGAGGAACCTCCATACTGTTTCCCACAGTGGCTGCACCAATTCACAATTCCACGAACAGTGCACAAGGGTTCCCTTTCCTCCACATCCTCGCTAACACTTGTTTATTTATTGATTAGAGACATTCTGACAGGTGTGAGGTGATGTCTAACTTGCATGTCTCTGATGATTTAGTGATGTTAATCATCTTTTCATATGTTTATTGGCCATCTGTTTATCCTCTTTGGAGAAATGTCTATTCAGGTTCTCTGCCCATTTTTTAATTGGATTTTTTTTTTTTTGGTGTTAAGCTGTTTGAGTTCCTTATATATTTTGCATATTTACCCCTTATTAAAATTTATTCAAGAATGAAAACATACTGAATATCTTCTTACATTCAGTAGGATATCTTTTCGTTTTGCTGATTTCTTTCACTGTGTAAAAACTTTTTTAACTTAATATAGTCCCATTCGTTTATTTTTTCTTTTGTTTCCTTGCCTGCGAAGACATGTCCAAAAAAGTACATACTGTTATCTGTGAGGTCAAAGAGTTTAATGCATTAGTTTTCATCTAAGAGTTTTGGATATTGTTAAATGTTTTTTCTGCCTCACTTGATATGATTGTATGATTTTTATCTTTCATTTTGTTTATGTGCTCTATCACGTTAATTGATTTGCAGATATTGAACTAGCCTTGCATCCCGGGAATAAATCCCATTTGATCATTGTGTATGATCTTTTTAATGTATTGCTGAATTAAGTTTGTTAATATTTTGTTGAGGACTTTTGCATCCATGTTCATCTAGGGTATTGGCCTATAATTTATTTTTTATTTTTTATTTTATAGTTTTATTGTCTAGTTTTGGTATCAGGGTAATGTGGGGCTCTTAAAATAAGTTTGGGAATCTTCCCTGCTGTTCAATTTTTTGGGAATAATTTAAAAAGGATAATTATTCTTTGAGTGTTTGGTAAAATTTAGCTGTGAAGCCATCTGGTCTAGGACTTTTGTTTGTTGGGAGTTTTTTGACTGCTGGTTCAATTTCATTAGTAGTTACCATGCTGTTCCAATGTTCTGTTTCTTCCTGATTCAGCCTTGGAAGATTTTATGTTACTAGGAATTTATCTATTTCTTCCTGGTTATCCAGTTTTGGGCAAAAAATTGTTAGCCTGGTTCTCCAGGGGCGTTCCCTGTATGAGTTACGGGTGCTCTCCTCTTGTAGTTGGGTCTCAGTTGCTGTTGGCACATCATTGTTTGGGATTGACCCTCGGGTTGACTGGCTGTGAGGGCTGGCTATGACTACAGCAGATAAGCTGCTGTGTGAGGGGCTGACCCCATAAAGTGGGAGTCACTTTAGCAGGGCTCTGGTACCAACTGAGTCCACTCTTAAGGTGTGTTGTTTGTGGAGCTGGTTGGGTGTGTTGGTTGCCAGGTGTGTTGGTTATGGAGCCTCTTGGGAGAGGCTCAGGTGCAGCCCAAGGCCATCCTATGTTTGTGTTCAGTTGGGGCTGCCTCGTGGACTCTACAAAGTGATATGTAGTCGGCTGCCATTTATTCTGGGCTTGAATGTGCTCGGGAGAAGCTATGCTGAGAACCAAGGCCAGTAGCCATGAGAGCTATGTGTGGCACCTTTTGGTAGGCACCATGATATGAGCTGGAGGCAACAAGCATTTGTGCCAGGCTTGTTGCTGCTTATTAGAAGCTACATTCCAAGCCAGTGCTGGCTGCAGCTTTTGTCAGGCTTGGGATTAGCTGATGAGAATTAAAGTGCAAGTTGAGACTGGCAGTCACTTGTGCTGGGTTGGGGCTGCTTAGCAAAAGGTATAGGGCATGCTGAGGCCAGACAGTGCTTGTTTGGAGTTTGTAGACCTTTGAGAGATCTTAGGATAGTCTACAGTGAGC